GATCATCTCAGCTGCTGTCCCCTCTCGGATCATCAATAAGACGTCTATCATGGTGTGTGCTATGTCGGCTTATCCACGGTTGTCTGACCTTGCCAACGGACCGACGGTTGCCGAGGGGTGCATGTTTATGGGTGCCCCATGCCTATGATTGTGTGAAGTAGGGTTTTGTAGCTTCACCGCGAGCGGCCACTAGCTTGGCAGCTCCTGCCTTACCTTCCGGATGTTCCCCCGGGGGCCCGGGGGCACCACCCTCATTCTTCTCATCTCATCTCCCACGAGAGCCGACGTCAGTGACATTTTCGGGTCCAGAAACCCCCGTCAGCACCTCACTACCATCACCTTGAGGAAACTGCAGGAACATTGATATATGATTGGCGTGAACCCTACTCCTGCTCGGCTCGTGTGTCATAGGTTCCTATTGCCGGGTCCATCACCGCCCATCGGCATGGGGATGCAGCCAACTTGGTGCACCTATCTCGATCCAGAGGTATCACGCCCGTTCTATCTGTGTGCACATACATACGGACTGGACGGACAGATGCGGTTTACTTCATCGCCCACGCGAGAATCCATTTCGGCGGGGGAACGCCAATTCGTGTTCGTAACTGTTATATCGGCGGTGCCTCGTGCATGTCCCTACCGGTTTTCCCTGTCGTTCATACCGCCCATGCCCACGCTATCCAATCCCTCATCCCGTACTCTCGTCTTATGTGTTTTCCGCTGCGCGGTGGGCCCCCGTATGGTTTGCGAATGTGAGCAGGAACGGAAGACGTCCCGGACATAGGCGTGTCACGTACGAGGTGTCACGTAAGAGAGGGTGATCCGCTTGATGTTCCATTTCGTTGCTGAAGCGTGCATGACACACGCCTGCCGCCACACCGCCAAGGTGGGACCCCGTAGGAACCCCTTCCATATTCATAGCGTAACCCATCTTTGCATAGCACCTTACGTACGCTCAGTCAGTTGCAGTGATGTGGGGTTATTAGTATTGTAGTGGATGGGAGAAAACCACGGGCACATGCTTGGCCAATACAGGTACGCATACCCTGCATGCCTTAACTGCGTTCCTTGCTCTTAGGCATGGGGCATGGGTACCCACCCGCCCACCGGTAGGAAGGAAGGAATGCGTATCAACACGAACGTTGAGTCGACTAGGCGTTTGGCGACGACAAAGGAACTTTTTGTACCGTTTCCCAGTCCTCTCTGAATTTGCCATGAGTGTCTCCCGAGCTTCATCAACGTACAGAGTCGCATAGAAACACAGAAACGCAAAGTGCCACCCAGTCTGAGCCCTCCTACCTGACGACCAGAAGCCCCCAGAAGCGGGAGATCGATACGCTGGCGAACTGGGAAAGGGAAGCTTTCAGCGCATTTTCAAATCCAAAACTAAGGGGTCAAAGCACCATCATGGGTTCATCAGAAGTGGCTTTCGTTAGGAGCTTGCAGGGTTGATCAGCGCGTGAAGGATTGAGGATTGGCAGGACAGCTGCTGAACGCGCATGCTGGGACAAAGATTGCCTTTCCTTGTCTCCTCCATGTCAAGGGCACAGAATCGCATACATGCCTTTGCAAGCACTGTGTTATGGATGTTTTTCTTTGATAAAAGCAACGGCGCTGCTGACGGCTGCTGCGCCGCAGCTGCTTTCTGCAATCTTCTGGCCTTGATTGCTTGCGGCAATATCGCGGCTGTTTCATCTGCTTGTAATCTAGTTCACGCAACCTATACCGGTAGTCGTCTTAACGATTAACCATCCATTTCGGTGCATGTGCGCATCGCAGTATGAAGCAGACAAAAAGGCAGGCAACAAGTTGACGAAGCGCTGACGGTGTGTCTCAAAGAATGGAGGAGTGAATATGATTTGAATGGCCCGATCATAAAGAATTATATTGGTACTCATAGCCAGCAGACAACCATGCACTTGCGGAATATCAACAAAGCAGCAGCAGCAGCAGCAGCACGTACCCTTCCCTTCGACAAATGCCCAGATGGCGAACACGTTTCATTTGCCTAACCACCGAGTCAGCTCCCTGTTATTGTGACTCGGCACTTTTGACAATTTGGATGAATAGGGCCGTGCAAGGATTAGTGGGGCCGTGCCTTCTAGCCAGCTTCCACATATACGTTAATGAAATCCAGTATGTTGATCCTTCGGCAACCCAGCCGCGACCCGTCGATCCCAGGAGTTCTGCGAATATTGGAAGAGCGTACCCGCAGATACTTAGTGAATGTTTGGAGAAAGTTGTCACAAGCACGGGATAACTCCAGATATTGTCGTTGCCGCACCGTGCCGTTCCATCCTCCCGACAGAGGGGCTCATCGAAGTTGATACTTCAGGATTAATCTTAATTACTGCTTCTTGGAGCAAAAAAGGTTTCTGCCAGTTGCGCCAAGGCTATCTGTCGACTGACGCTCTGATGGCGGTTGGTTGCCTACGATGCGGCGGCATATCTGATGGTTAAAAAGTAACAAGATCTGTGTCGATTCATTGCACCAGCATATAAACAAAAAATGATTTTATCCATCAGATTTAGTGGCTGATACCATGCTGCGCCAAGGACGACAAAGTCTCTAGCGCTTACTAAAAACGTGTACACCAGGGATACGGGAGGAAACTTTGGCGATTCAACTCAACTCACTAAACCTAATCGCGAAGCAGTCTTTCTTCAGCTGCCGTGTCATGTTTAATCATTCTCAATGATGTTGCGTTCTAAGTTTCAGTAAACGTTGACCTTTCGCAGGCCTTTTGCAGATCAGAAGGAAGCGGGCACGATTCCACGAAAACCAAAGTCCATCTGAAAGTGTTTTGACACAATATTGACTTGTGGTGCTGAACCGCAACAATAGTTGTGCATTGCTGTGGGGTAGGGCTGGCAGGCGCAAGTGTGGACGAGCATTGATGACGAACAAATGATCCATGAAAGGGCTTTAGTCTCAAGCAGGATTACATTAACATAATTTGTCGTTTCCTCCTGTCATATGAATGGCAGGCATCAGTGGTTTTTGCACAGGTCACCCTAAAATGTCAAGCGGTGACCATCACGAAGCTGGTCGCTTCACGAGAATTCTGGCCCAGACATTCTATTGGTGTAAACTTTTAAAAAAGAAAGGCTCGATCATGGTGTCTGCACAGTGATGTTACGAGCATGTTTTAAAGAGCTTACAGCTGTATGCCCTGCCAAAATTTTTTAGATGAGCTCATTTGAAAAATAAAAAGAAACTCGATTTACCCATGACACCTCCGTAAACAGGAGCTCAGTCGCATCGGGATGTCGTATCGCCGGAGAAGCGCCCATTATACGGAACCTGTTAACTTCCTACCATCTCAATACAACACAGATAGGATTTACTTCTATACGCGTGTTTGAGGACTTGCCATTAGCAGAGTACATGCAACTTGTCGCGGCGTTGCTCCGGCTGTCGCGGGCGACGAGGCCACCGCCGTTCGGAGCGTTAGATTGGGTTTAATAATCCCAAAGATACTATTTTAACAATACCAACTGTACTCGGGATGTACAATCACCTCCTTCAGTCTGTGAGCTCAAGCGGTCTAACGTCTCGGACGTATCCACCTGCGCTCTACGGCCCCGCAGAAAACGAAAACCAATCTGTGTCGTTAATGCAACAGTTTCAACAGGGCCAGCAGTCAGGTCTCGTCTTTGGACCTGGAGGACTTGCCGGTCTAACGCAACAACAGCAGCATCAGTTGGCAGCGGCGGCAAGCACAAACATCTACAGTAGCTCTCCCACGACAGCATATCAGATTTCACAACCCTCCTCATATGTTCAACAAGCTGCGTTTGCCGCGGCCGGCCCAGCCGCTCTGCTTGGTGCTACGGTTTCCCCACAGCTGCCAGCCGCATCCACAGCATCAACAGGTTTCCCTTCCACAGCTGCTGCAGCGGCGGTAGCGGCTGCGGTGTCTGGGGCGCCGGGAGCATCCCTCTCGATGCTGCCCATGGCGGCTGCAGATGCCAATACTCCGGTCTCAGTTCCTTTCAACTTCTCACAGCAGCAGCTGTCGTCCTTGCAGCACGTAAAGCTGCTTCCCCAGGAGCAAAAGCTTTACCAGCATCAGCAATTCCTGCTTGGACAAGGCAGAGGTGTACAGCAGCAGCAACAGCAGCAGCAGCAGCAGCAACAACAACAAAAACAACATCAGCAGCTGCTGCCAAGGCCATCATCAGAGCTGCCCAGACAGCAACAACAGCATCACCTGGAGCAGCTGCAGCATCAGGTGCAAAAGCCGCAGTCAGCTTTCCTTGATCAGCAGCAACAGCCGCAGCTCATTGCCCAAAATGGTCGTGTGCAGCAGCAACAGCAGCAGCAGGCATGGTTGCAGCAACAGCAACAGCAGCAGCAGGCTACCGCCTTGCTACAGCCACAGTCACAGCAGCTGCAGCAGCTGAGCCTGCAGCAGCATCACGGGCAGCGGGAGTTGCTGCTAGGTGAACACAGAGTCCAGCAGCAGCCGCAACACATGCCGACATCGGCTGGTCTATCCGGCAGCGGACCAACTCAGCAGCAGCATTCACAGCAAAGATCCTTGCTTGGTTCCCTGCTGATCGATCAGTCGTACGAGCTTCAGCACCCGCAGATGCTAGTGCAACACCAACTGCTGCAGCAACAGCAGTTGCAGCAGGCGCAGCAGCAGGCGCAGCAGCAGGACACCCGACAAGTCAGCGGAGATAACAGCAGAACACTTCAGCAGTCGCGTCAGCAGCAGCAGCAGCAGCAGCAGCAGTTGCCACAAATGCCGGCGCCACAACAGCAACAATTTATGCAGCAGCAGCAGCAGCAGCAGCAGGGTTTGCGCCAAGTACAAGAAGCACAGGCACCACTGCAGGCGGCCATCATGGCCACTCTAGCACAGCAGCTCCAGCAGCGCCAACAACAGGCAACAGCGGTGCGACGCCCCGGTGAGCAGCGCTTTCTTCAACAACAGCAAACCTGCGCCACCGGAGGTCGATCTGCGGCAGAACTGGCAGCAGCACCATTACCAATGGCCACTGCGGTTGCAGCGGCGGCAGGGCCGGGACCCGCTGCCGCTGGCGCCGCTGCTGCGGGAGCGGGAGCACCAGGACCGCCACTGCCAGCACAAAGCGGCCGCCGTGGCGGCAGCGGTAGCATTGCTGCCCCTGGGACACCTCTGCTGCCGCTGTCTCCACCGCCACGACCTGCGTCAACGGACGCTCCAGCCGCTATTCGCTTTCGAGCAACCATTGATTGGAAAGCGACATTTGCGGCAGCCGTCTCACCCTATGACGTGTTGCCGCCAGGCCATCGTGCGAAGGGGATGACAGGCTTACGGGAGCTCCGGCTTGGCGCGCTGGAAGTGCTCCTTGCTGAGGCGCCTGAGGCCGCCAATGCGGCCGTGGAGGTGCTGCGGGCTCGGATGTGGGACGGTAAGATAACAGCAAGCCAGCACTAGTTCATCATTTGCCTTCAACCAAGCAATGCATGCATCATAACTAATCGTACGATCGCTCACAGCAACATGAGCTTGAGACCTAACCGGAATAGAATGGTGCTTCCGGGCATGTATGGATTTGCCGGTGTACAATGCTGGGGTGTAGGCGCGGGCTTTTCTCGCCCTGGCCTGCTATAACGAAGCTATAGTCAGGTCACCTGCTTACTTGATTTGTTTCATCCACCCGTTCATGAAGGCGTGTATAGATAGGCAGAGGCGTTACCTGGCTAGCCATTTGGCTTTCCAACTTGTGCCAGCTATATCAGTGGACGCAGCATAGCATAGCATAGCATAGCATGTACCGTGCATCTTTGTGCTGCTCGCTTCAGTGGGCACCTCTTTTCTGGCACCCCACGTAAAGCTACCCCACCGCGTCCCATTCATGCATTAAACGGTGAGGAGGGAACCCTTGGCTGCTAACATCTGTGTGTGTGTATGTGTGTGTGTGTGTGTGTATGTCTGTGTATATGTGTGTGTGCGCGCGCACAGGAGTTGCGGCCATGGACATGGAATGGAAGCCCGACACGGCGCGCGGCGAGTCCCACCCCGTCGCGCTGCTACAGCTCTCATCGGCTGGTCTTGTGGTGGTGGTGCGCACGCTGGCGTGCGGCCTGCCGGACAGCTTCCGCACGCGCTTCATGGAGGACAGCGACGTGGAGCTGGTAGTGGCTGGTTGGAGCAGCAATGACGAGCGCAAGTTCGAGGAGAGCTTTGGGTTGCAGACCTTTTGGTGCGTACGACGGCTATTTCTGCTGCTGTGGCTAACATACGCTTGACAGATGCTTTGCAAAAAGCGTGCTAGGAGGCAGCTTGCTCTCGGGCACAAAACTGGCTGTTGCAGAGTAGTAGATAGCTTCTGGGCATGCATATATGGTTGAACACCTTCGCGCACCATACACCTTAAACACATGTTAACGACGCCGTACGAACGGTAAGTCCAAGGCCACCTAGAATCCATCCCCATCCAGTCTCCCGAGCATCCGTGATGACAAAGGATTTATTGATTATTCGAAATCACCACTAAGAAAGGATGGTGCGAACGTAGGTCCATCAATTGTGACCTAGTTGCCACTATGTCGGGGCCTTCCCAGGAATCAACCATTGGTGACTCCAAATCTCACAAAAAATTGCAAATTTGACAAACAACGTATCACTTATTGACCTTGCACGGGGAAGTTTTTCTTGTGTATACAACGACAGACGAGCGTCCTTGGTTCCGGAGCCGGGTGGCCCAAGTTAGAACGCGGATGCGTCAGCGTTCGTACGTTACGGACACCATCGTAGCGCTAGGGCCCCGATGGCTGTGGACTTAATGGCGGCTGTTTGTGAGCAATTTGTTGCTGCGTCCCTTCCCTTATACCTAATACCCCGCATTATTGTCTCCCTTGATAATTCTCGCGGAACTGCAGCACGTAACGGAATTTTCGCAGAAAACGCGGGTGCTCGTTAACGCTAGCCCTGACTCGATTTCCGTCGGTCATAACTCCAGATTTCCGTCCTTTGCTAATTTTGTTTCTGCAGGTGCGAAATCACGGATATCCAAAAAGTCGCAAAGGCATGTGGACATTCCAAAACTGGTGTACGGGCGCTCGTGCAGGCAGTGCTGGAGCCTTCCGTGGGCATGCCCAAAAGCAAGGTAGTTAATTCCCCGGGCATACTTTGTGGGCAGCAGCGATCTACAGCGGTCTGCGCACTTCTTCGCGACAGAAAAACCGCGCAAGACCGCGCACCGCACGTGGCGGGCATGATGTACATTCGTGTACATTACCTTCAAATCCTTGTCGTATCGTTGTTTCCGGCTGCAATATATTAAATGAATTTAAGGTTCAATGTAGAGTTTAGCCATCATTTAGCGCATCTTTGACGATAGTACGGGTAAAAAGCTTATGCACGAATATGCGTACGCAGACCATAAGCACTACCGATTCCGAAATTTCTCATTTATATGCATACTCCTTTAAAAAATCATCAGTGCATACTACATGTATGTGAGTGCACCATCCAACTGTATGCACCAATGTTCGAATTCTTAAGTACGACATAATGTAGCAGCCATGAATTTCTGCGCAATAACATCACATATAGCATTGCACAATAATTTTATGACTATGTTTTCTGTGGCGCAGAAAGTTTCGATGTCTGATTGGAGTGCACCCAGCTTGCAGCCTGAGCAGCTGAAGTACGCGATCCTGGACGCCGCGGTGGGTGCTACAGGTGTTCGCCGCGTTCATCGCGTTCACGGAGATAAACAAGTGCACGATCAAGCCCCGTCTGCTTGTACATCGATGTGCGACTGCTAGCTAGCTCACGCACATGAACTAATAACCTCCTGCGCGCGACAGCTGTACTCACACTCCAGTATAATACTCATGCTTACTGTCGACCCGCTGACCCGCCACCCATGTCCTACACGGCCGCCGCACAAACACACATGCACATATACACACGCGCACCTGTAAGTATACATTATCTGATCTATTCCACGGGCTGCACGTGCACCCCTCCTAATGCATTTGCTTGTACTAATCGGTCGGCATCCAAGCTATCCGTTCATTGCACCGTCCTCTTTCAGCCCCACGTGAACGTGCCCACTGTGCATGTCTTGCAGTGTACGGAGCACGTGTTTCGTTGTCTTGAGGGAAGGTTCTAGACAGCAACTGCCAAGCCACGAGTGCCGGTCCTACATGATAAGCTGCGCGGACGACACCTCCACATATTTTTTAGCCAGCAATTCACCGCCGCATTACTGCTGAGCAGCAGCTGCGTTTATCTTCAATGGCTGTGAACACAAGTGATCGTTGACAGGTCTACATACATACAGATCAGCACATCATGACGTACAGTACTACATATGTGCGTACATGTACACGTATATAGCTGTCTATGTGGGTACCTAAGTATACACGGCCATGCATACGCGCATGCTTTGCGTCATCCCGCCTGAAGACTGGTCGTGAAGTGCACCACAAGCACGGCGCGAGTGCAGCCCTGCTGCATCACTTGAAGGGTGGATGTACGGGTGGATGATGTACGACGACAATATGAATCTGGGAAGTCCTGCTGGTTGAAAAAGCTTTGAGTCGGAAGTGGCATGGATGGCGCACGAAGCAGGCGGAACCGGGAGGCGAATAGGCAGGCCGGGCATTTTTAGGTAAGAGGCAAGCAGGCTTACCTCAGGTAGCCTGTTGGAGAGCATGAAGCAGCTTTCCCGACAGCAGCTGTTGCAACAGCAGCTGCTGCTACTGCTGCTGCTGCTACTGCGTTGTTTGCTACTCATCAGTGTGCTACTCATCCGCAGCGAAATGGCAATATGGCAATACACACGCAGCTGACGCAGCAGAGGCGGGAGGGCGGGAGGGCAAATTCATGTGTGTGTGTGGAAAGGGATTCTGCCTGCTGCTTGCGTGCGCCTTGCAACACGCAAGCAACAGGGCAGGGTCGTGCGTGATACCTCTGTACGCGTGCCTGAGCACGTACTTTGCTTGCACTTGCACATCTGATGCTCAAACACAATGTATACGTTACTGTTGGTGATGATTGACATGCCAAACGCAACAAGCATACACGCGACAACCCCACATGCCGCTTGCGGTTTTTGCACAGAAAAGCTTCCTTGGCGGTGCACCACACAAAGCGATGCGAACGGCGGGCAGTGCCGCAACGGCAGCTACCATCTCTCGACATATAAGCGACAGTCGGGGGGTGTCAATGGCGGCTGGCATGGCTGCCAGGCTCGCGCGGCTATGGTTCACATGTTCGTCCCGGGCTTGAGCTTCATTTTTGTACGCACATCATCCGTATGTATGTACGAACATACATGGTTCATCTGCATACGTGGGTATGTGTGCGTGCGTAAGTACGTAGCATGGGACCGTCGGCGTCCTTACTCAGTGCGTATGGAGCCTCGAAGTGTTGCACACGCAGTGTTTTGTTCCACAACGAGCTTCCCGTCAGTCGCAAGCAAGCTCTGCACATGCTGAGTTGCGTTGCGTTATGGCGGCGGCAGCGGCGGCCGCACAATATTGCCCGTAGGTGCATACAAGGGTCGCAGGCCCGCGTTACGTACGTGCCCGCCGACACATGCCGGTGGCGTGACAGTTGAAGCGTATCAACCGTCAAACCCACCTTAGCTTCCATTTTACATGTCTACATCAGGATGTTGTCAGCGCTGCGCGTTTTACCCACACCTTAAACGGATTGAGAAAGCGCACACGCATCCGTCATGTTTGGTAGGAAAGGGTTGGAGGGAAAGTTGTGTTTCACGATCGGTTGTAGCGCTGCTTTTGCTTGCACCCCATAAGTTGCTGTTTTTTGCTTGCTTGCACACCCTAAGTTGCCATGCATGTGCCTTGCCTTGTTGAGGGGACGGCTGCTGGCCTGCAAGTACGTAGGCGCTGTCTGCGCGATCCCAGCCTATGCCGTTGCGCTCTCTGTACGTGTTTGACGGTGGTGTATGAGCATGACTGGATGCAGCAGCTGGGCAGCGCCGCCAGAACCGTCCCGCCATGTATCCACAGGATGTATTTCTGCCACTCTTGTCCGCCGTCTTACTGCTTTGCATTCGTTGCCGTGCCTACTGCTCGTTCTTCCCCCTCTTATTACCGTTATTGACTTGCTTTGCCTCAAACGCAGTTTGCCTTGTTTTTCGTTGTAAGCGCGCGTAAAGTATTCACGCAGCCTAAGCCCGTGCGCGTATGTGTGAGGCTGCGTTTTGGTGTAGTAGCTGGTGATCGGAGTGCGTGTTGATGCGGCTTAGATTGAGGAATTCGCTTTTAGAATGGAAGAGATGCTAGATCGGGCTAGGTACATGAAGGTGTGAATCTTGAACCCACCAGCAGGCAGCGCAGCCGGCCGGGGGGGGGAATGTACGGTGGCCACGTACGCCATGTGTTGCGCCAACCAACCCGTCCCACATACAAGCGACGGAAGTGCTTTGTAAGCACATTCCTTGCTATCATCTCGGTCCCTCTTTTTGATTTTATGTATCTTGCTGCGGGGGGCCAGCTGTCTTGAACGACGGCAAGAGTAGTTAGTTGAGTGCAGCTAGCCTTCTGGGTACCCCAGGGCATCATCTCATCACCCGCTCGGCCTCAGCTCGCGCGCGGTGCATAAGGCGCACGCTGAACGCCGGCTGCTGTCGCTGTAGGTGTGTGTGTGTGTGTGTGTGTGTGTGCAACACATGCTGGACGTTAGGATGGATGTCAGGATAGGGCGTCATGGCGGACCGTCCAGCGGCATGTGATGAGTTGGTGCGCGTGTGAGTGCGACGCACGGTCGCGCTCCGGCTGCAGCTGTCTGGTGTTTTAGTCTGCTGTGCGCGCCCGCTTCCAAAAGTTGAATGCCTTTGGGTTCGCGAACTAATTCGTGATTAATTAGAAATTTAGCAGGTAAACGCCTTGCTTTGCGTGGATCGACTAGTCGTCGTTATTCGATCGGCTAGTCCCGTTACCTGCGGAGGTCGAATGTCTTCAACTGCTTTTTTGGGAGGTATAATGTTGTTGTTACTGTGAGCACTGGCAGTTTATTTTGGCTGCTAGATGCGCGCACTTAGGGACGACACGCACGACTTCGGTCGGACTTCTTCCGATACCTGTGCGAATTTATGAAAGTACGCAATATGTATGTCTGTTTGTGCAATAGCTGCTTAATGTATTAGCTGTCCATCAGCTGGCCTGGCTTGGCTCTTCCCGGGGCACATCCATCGTAGCGTGTGTGCTTAACTAAGCAATGGGCTCCGTCTTCCAGAGCCATATGCGTGCTTCTGCCCTGCCTTCGGCACCTCAACAAAACCTGTTTCTTCTTACCTGCGGATGGTTCCGTCTTTCTATGTGCTGAATGTGCGCACCTGCGAGACATTTCATCAGCTGCGACACGCAGTAACGGGCTAGCTGCTGCTGCTGCTGCTGCTGCTGCTGCTGTTGTACGCGATAATGTCTATCTACAACCCTAAGTTTTCTTTTCATGGTTGGGTACCCCTTGGGAGGGTAAGTGCATGCTTGGTCATACTTGCCTGCATGCTTCAATCCGTGTGGCAGAGTACCTGCTTGAGCCTCTTTTGTGTATGTGTGTGTTTATGCTTGTGCGCGTATGCTTTGGTGTGTGTAGATTATAGCAGTCTAGGATAACCCTAGGACAGGGAAGACTTAGTTACAAGCAGGGCAAGCATAGGGAGGTCCCCGAGGAATTGGTGGAGCAATCTCTTTCTGTGCGTATGTGCTTTTGTTCACGTGCTTGTTCGTCTGCGCTTGCGCGTGACGTGCTTGCGTGTATATGCCTTTGCTTATTGCGTGTGTATGTCCTCGTCCATAAGTATGCGCTTCAAGCGGTTTGCATGCACCAAGGGCGCTGATCTTAAAAGGATTCTGTTGCTGTTGCTGCTGTTAAGCACGTCGTGCAGTGTATTTGCGTTGAAAGTTTCTTAAGGCTTGTGCGTGCGTGCGATGGTTGACGAGTGGATGGATCCACTTGTGCTTATATACTTGTGTTTTGTTGCACACTTGGGCCTGCGCACAAGTACGATGTCCGTTCATGCATACGCCGCCTTAGCTCCCTGCTGCGTACTTGAAGTGCAACGAATCTTAGTTATGCTTTTGCTTTAGGAGAGCTCGTCAGGGCAGTGGTAGATTATAATGCCTGCTTTGCGTAAACGCATACGTATGGTCGATCAGGGCTGAACGGAAGAGATCGATTGATGGATTTTTATGGAACTGACGGAAGGGGATTGCCCCGAACTGGTCTCGACGGACCCAGCCTGGCAGCCGCGCTGGGCCGTGCCAGGCGGAAACGGGGCTGGCGGGCTTGCATCCCGAGGAGGCAAGCTGTTGGAGGGGGAGGAGGGAAAGGAAGCTCCTTAGGAACTGTTGAAAATATTTCTGGGTAATTTAAGGCCAGCGGCTCTGCTGGCGGTGGCGACGTTGGAAGCGGGAAGTGCAGCAGGTAGCAAATAAAGTAGCGGACTTGCGTGGCGTGGACGGGTTACGTGCGCTTATGCGTGTGGATGATGGAAACGCCTGGATGGATATGCGCACACACACGCACACAGACAAGAGACGCGAAGAGTCAGCAACACTGAGAGGCTTTGCGTTGCGTTTTTCCGGACTGGGGTTCCTGCATGGGCGGAGGCGCATCTGCATACTTCAATGTCAGCACGTAGCGTTGTGGATTTATTTTTGGATTCGCAGTCCAGTCAGGATCATGACCCTCATAGTGACTTCAGACTTAAGAAGGGCACCTGGTTGGTGTGATGAAGGATGTGGAATTGATGGTATGGCGTGCATGTGCCGCTCACGTGGACATGCCTTGACGGGTGCGTGCTAGGCACCTAACTACACTTCAATGCGTTCTCGGGAGCTTCTCTCCCATAGTAAAGGTTAAAAATCCAGAAAGCGTGTTGACTACTCTGCCGCGGCGGCATGCCGCGGCGTGGGCGCATGAGATGCTGCCCGCTTCGTTCCATACGGTTTTGCGTACCAAGGCTTCCTGCTTCGGCAGCTGCTGGCGCATAACCTGGGTCGCGTACGTCTTTCCGTTGTTTGTGACGTAGCTGCACCTGTTTGGAAAGTACGTAGGTAGGTTTATAGGTATTTAGCTAGATGTAGATGGACAGTACATCTGATCTACGTATGTTGTTGCTTGTCCATACCTGGTCATCTTCGCTTGATCGTATTGCCGGCCGGCCCACTAATTTGACGTCCTAGCTATGTGTGCAAGCTACGGCGTATGGCAGTTTTCGTAGTTTTCCGCACAACGTATGGCCGTTGCATACGCGGCCAAATAAGTACACGTATGCGTACACGTCCATTCTGAATCATTGAAAAGTCAAAAGTCCTCCACGTGCAAGAATGGTGGCACCTGGTAGCTTTCCTATGAAGGAAGAATGGAGTTTGGATTACTTGGGGATGCTTGGTTGGCTGCTCAACAGCGGCTTGGCAACATGCCTGCACGTTGCCAGCGGATTGTTGCGTTCTCGGACACCACCACCACCAGTTTGGGGCGGTTGTTGTTGCGCACGATGAACGTGCCGGGGGCAAAAGGTTGTGCGAACTTGGCGAACTGTTTATGCCCTCTGCAAGCCGCAGCTCTCCTCACCACGTGCTGTTGCGCTGCCGCATGGATGCAGATGCAGTGTATGTACGTACGTTAATGATTGAGTTCGGCCTTTATAACATGCTCGTGGCCGGGGAGGAGGGCCCGACGGCCCCTGCGTGATTTGACCGCCTGTGTTCTACAGGCGAGCGCTATTGATTGACTGACACACATGTGTACGGAAATGCAATTGTTGTACGGAAGCGCGATCGATATTCGGGAAGGTGACGGCGGATAGTTGCCCGCCTGGCTGGTATGTCTCTGCGCATTCCTTTTCATAATTGTACGGTGTACCGTACCGTACCGTGTACTGGTGTACGGTGGGTGTACGGCACTCAGACCTGGGCAGCAGGAAGACTAAATGGTTCATGCATAGAAAGATTGGTTATGGCGCATGATGGAGGATCGCGGTCGGTACATAACCGGATAATGACGGGATCTCTTCAGGTGGCTTGGTTATGGCAGTTCGCGTAGGGCCGGTGCTGGTGCTTGGCAAGTGAATGCGCTCACGCCCGTGTATGTCACGCCCGTGTATGTGTACACGGGCGCGACAAGGACGAGCGCGCGGAGTGAGTGGTGAATTCTTTTCAGGAGGGATAGGCCATGGAAGAAAATCTTCCGGTCTGGACCCATCCAGCGGTTTGTTACTACACGTGGATGTGGGGATAAATAGGTGGAGCAAGAATGAGGTCCTGATTTTTATGTTCGTTTGCGGATTTATCCTCGCCATGCCCCCGGACGAAAGGCGGCGTACGGCTGCCGTACTGGTACTTTACTTGCCGTGGTAAGGTATCAAAAGGGTTGTAGACAGCAGCATCGACAATCCCGTGTAACGGCATTTACTCATCAAAACGTATCTAGCGCTGAGGACTAACCAGCTACCAGCTAAATATTGTACTCGCTTGCTTACCCCTTCGGTTCTGCTTACCCCTTCTTCCTCTCCGTTTATGCGCTCCCGAATGGGTTTCTATCCACCTCTCTTTCTATTTTCCTATCGCTGTTAATTGCTGTTGTCGTTTGGAGCTGGAGCATATGCTTTTGTGTAGGCAGGTTTAGGAGTGGATCTGGGAACGATCCCACATATAGCGGGACCAGAAGGATGGTGCGGATGGTTTACTTGCGTGTGTGTCTGTATGTGTGTGTGTGTGTGTCTCGGCTTTAGAGTCGCTGCTAGCTGGATGGCTGTTATGGACTGATGAGCGGAGTCCGTTACGCTTGCTTGCTGTGATCGTTGCAGGAATGGAATGGGTGAGCTTGGCTTGCCATATTGCCCGGTGGGCTTAAGTAAAAACGTGCCGTGACTGCCCATATAGCTGTGCGTGCGTGTGTGCGTGTGCGGGCAGGCAGGTACGTAATCGCACATAGAGTCGGCCCCTAGAATGCAAATGCTTCTCGTCCCACGCCCACGTATTACAGTTTTATTAGGTGCTGTTGTACGCTGGACGACACAGTGTGGCTAGTTGCTGTCGGGAATGTAGGCGTGCTGCGATACCTCTCTTTGCATATGTAAGTGATATCCACGCACCGAGGGCAATTAGGGGGCCCGGCAACAGGAATCCAGGAATGGGGGGGGGGGAAAATGAATGATTGATGCTGTTCAGTGAAGATTGCGGAATGGAGAGGAGCGAGGATCCCCCTGGGCGCTACCGGTTTTTTACGGCTAATCTCGTATAATGCTTCCTCACCTCCAGTCTTCGTGCGGAAATTGGGTGTGAGCGTGCAGCACGCGGCAGCCAGCGCGCAACGCCCCCCAGCGGGAGCTTTGGGGGGGCCAAGCCAAGCAGCACGCACACAGCGACTCGGGATTGTGATAACACACTTTGGTGATGATCCCCCTTCTTCTGTTTGGCTACCAATATTTTTGTTGACGACCCGCTCTATTTTGTGCATGTGAAGTAGGGGCGCCAGCTTGTGGGTTACACATTCGGCTCGCGTACTTTTATGCGAGAACACGAGATTATGTACGAATCGGCTTTTTGCTTACTGTCGTTAATTAAATAGCGCGCTTTGTTGTCATCAGTTGCGTGCGGGCAAGGCGGGGTCGCCGCGTAAAGCTGGCAAACAACCAGCAGCGAGTACTCGTACGCAAATTGGCTGGTCTTGTCTATAGCAGTTCGACAATGCAAATTTCTTGCTTTAGGCGCCCCAGGTCACCTCCGACCTATCCGACCAATCAATAGGTTTCTTGTTCCTTGCAATCTTCCTCTTCATGTTTATGCGTTGTTTTTGCGTGTTAATTTTGCCTTGCGGCAGATTGCAGGCTGCGCTGCTGCACAAACAATGAGGCAAGTAAGTGGCACATGGGCTGCTCGTGGGGTTGGTGGGGTTTGTGCTCTTGCACTCGGGGTAAGCGTTGGGCGCGTTGCGCGAGCAGAAAAAAGCAGGTCGTGATTGCTGGCTTCGTTTGCTCTTCACAAAGCCGGTTAGCTCTCGGTCGTGCATGCGATGCCTGCTATATGTTGTACGTTTTGGACCTATCTCAGCTCGTTAGTTCTATTCGCCGCTGCCCTCGTTCTGGCGGGACATGTGAGGAGGTGGACTGTCGCACACAGTGCGTGCCATCATTCGTGCAACATGCTTGCATGGCTTCGCTCTGGGACAGAGCTTGGCCGTTGCCGGGCATTACGCCCGTGTAATGCTCATTACAGGGCGGGGCTAGCCAGGAGCCTTGGACGAGTCTGGTGCCCTGAATTTTTGCACTTGAAAACAAATGGCAAATAGCAGGCGACGGTGCGATTATGATGCATGGATTAATCGCATGTCGCTTTGTGTAATAGCATGGATCAAGCAGGATGAAGGCCTTTGAACACCGGTAGCACACTGAGTCACTCTATAGCAGTGACGACTGCCGTGTCGCTTTTGGCGACCGCTGTTGCCTTCAATACGCGGACTCATTAATTCAAATGGTATGAATTGCGGATTCTTGAAATCTGTGGAATGTGCGAGAGGTGGGCTCTGAGATACCGGTAAGCTGTAATGTGGGCTGGTGTTTCAGCGTTTCAGTGTTTCAGCGTTTCAGCGTTTCCCCTTACAACTGAATTATAACGCAACTCGGACCCACAGGAATGTATGTATGCGGCGTTGTAACTGCATTTTCCCGACAGAAGTCTTGGCGGTTAGGCTTCTGGGTTCTGTCGTTGCTGCACAGCTTTTCAAGGTTCATATTTGGGCATTAAGAACATGGTTATCCTGGTTTCTTTCTTTGGACAAAGTAATTCAGGAAGGTAGCAAGGTGACAAGTTTGTTAGTTATCAACGACCCACCTGACTACGGGAAATAACTCTGCGTGGGTGATTGTCCGGTGTCCACCGCAATATCCGAAGTGATACCAAGGATGTCGTGTAGAAACTTGCTTGATCTTATGAATATGTTCATGAGTACTATATCTCGGAGCTCAAATGCTCGAACCATGCCTTGGAGAAAGTCATCAAGCTTTAACCCACAGCACTCTGTACCAATAGCAGACGATTAGGTTTCGTCTATAAAGGATTGGCCGTGCTAGATCTTGCTTGGCGTCATTTCGGGGAAGAATGGCAGCTGCGGACGCCGAGTTCCTTTTGCTGCGTTCAGCACTAAATGAAAAGGACCTGGAGCTAATTGAGCTTCGGGAGAAATATATGCAGCTAGTTGTGGGTGTGGCCAACTGCCCAGCTGTCAGTCTACCCAACGCCCTGGTCAACGGGTAATGCTTTCACGCAGGCGCGAACCGATGAAGCTCGCGACAACTGGGAAGTTGCAATGGCTGCCAAAGATAGAGCTATCCTGCAGCTGGAGGAGGTTTTGGTGTTAAAGCAGCAGGCAATTGATCGAATGCTTGAAGCCTCAACCCACGCCGCCGAGACTGACCTCCTGCTGCAGGAGAGGACAGCTCAGGTACGACGGACTTTGAGGAATCAATATGACTCACAGCTATGTCGAACCGCTGGCTCGTTACGGCTGTTCTTTTGCAACCCACAACCCCCACCCAACCTTGCGCACGGCAAGCATGCGCGTATTGCATGGTTACGCTGATTTGCAGCATGGGGGATACCGCATGCTGCCAGGTACAGCTCTGCCACCACACGCACGCATTTATGCCTGGGAAAGGTCCTTAGCGCCGCACCGCAGGGGTCTTAGGACCATTGAATTTCGTCAGGTCCCTCCCAAACAAACTGTCGGCAGGTAGCCGCACTTGAGAAGGTTCTGGGTGATGCAAGGGCTAAGATCAGCAGCCTGAAATCCACCATAGCAGGCCAGAAGCGCCAGCTGGAGACTGCCGGTGAGCAGCTGCAACACCGGTCCCATGATGACATGCGTGTGGAGCAGCTGCGAATGCAGCTGACTGCGGCTTTCCACGGTGCGTCGTACGGGTGCTTCATAGGGGAACCTGCAAGAGGGGACGCACCGAGGTTTAATGCCCGTCGCGGGAACCTAGATGAGTGGTTATACAACGGTGTATACAACGGTGGTCCTTAACAGCTTATCGTTTGCAGGGGTTTTTCCCGAACAACGTTCATGGTTTTAATATCTTGTTTAATTCCATTTTTGGGGGTTCCCCAAAGGGAAGACGAAGGGGAAGACTTCTTCCCCTTTGGTTCCTCTAAAGGGGACGAACTACATTCCCGCACACGTCTCTGCACGGCCGCAATATGCCATCAGCAGCACCAGAACAGGCAGTGGTTCGTGTGTAAAGCTAACGCCACTTGTTCCCCCGGGGGTGTACCGCAAACCAACGCATCCACACGGCTCAACGCACCCACGGCGTCCCCTCGGTGGCACAGAGGAGCTGCGGGTTGCACAGCAGCGCGGCGACTTGCACGAGGAGCTCGCTCGCAGCCTGTCTGGGGAAGTGCAGCGGCTTAAGGAGCACCTGGCGCAGCGCGATCAGGAAGTCCGAAGCCTCAACGACCAGCACGCTCGGACAAAGCTGCAGGTGCGGTGGGCTCCTCGTGACGCGTAGCCGACGTGTAGCCGCTTGTCCTTGGGCCTTTCTTTGGTGGCACGATGTTCGCGAGGTGGTGGGAACTGTGAGGTCTACATGGCCGCATGGCAGAGCTATGCAGCGCTATGTGGCTGCACAATACACACACAATAAAAATGTACACCCTTCCGTGATGGCCTTCTTCCGTGCTCATGTCTTAAAAATGGCATGTTGGGCTGTCCTCACGTCTGGATGCGGATGCGGACTCGATCCATAGTAATCCATGCTTGGGGAGAATCAGCAGATACGGTAGTACACGTGCCGCGGTGCATGTGCGCGGCTTCCCTCCTCACCACCATGTCTGTGCATTGCAAAGGAGGGATCTCTAGGCCGGTAGGTACCGGTGAGGCCCAAACAGGTCAGTGGGGTCAGTACACTAGGCCTGCACCCAACGGTCCAACGGTCGCCAGGCAAAAACAGCTCCGTAACCTACTGCTCCCCCCTGCATCGTCGGAGCGCCGACACCCTATTATTCTGCCTCCAACGCGAGCCGCAACCGATCCCTCAAGACGCACCTTCGAGCCCTACCGTCTGCATCCTGAAAGTGGTCTCTCAGCCAGCCAGCCAGCCAGCGAGCTAGCCAGCTAAAGATGCATTTTGCCGCCTTCACCGATTTTCCTCTCGCTCTACTTACTTTCTGCGGGCCTGCGGCTCTCCGCAGGTGCAACGGCTTCAGCAGGAGCTCATGCGCCAGCCGGCCGGGTCGTCGGTGAACGCCACACGAGGTTTCAGCACCCTGCACACGGCCGTATTGGAGCCCTGGCCCGAGGACAGCCGGCCCTCCCAGCTGAGCGAAGAGCTGCTACGGGGCGAGGGCGGCAGGCAGCAGGCAGTGCTGGGAGCCGTGGCGGCGGAGGACTCGGACCTGGAACGCATGTACGCAGGTACCGGAGCGGACGCAGCCTGCAGCTGCGTCAGGGGCGGGGAGGTGAAGATAGACCCTCGGCTTTGGCAGTTCTCGTGGGGGCGTTGTTGTTGTTGGTGCTGCTGGTGGTTAAATTGTTTCGTTCTAATTTCGTTTACCTGAAAGGCTGCGGTCGTGTGTATGTGGAGGGGGGGGGTTTGCAGGCGGTACTGAGGCCTTTCCTGCTGGCCCTGCGGTGTGCTACTGGCAAATGCCACGGAGCACCGAAATCGGCGGGTTTCAAACAGGTGCTATTTGGGTTGCAGCAACGAATAGGACGCCGGCTGGGAACTGCAGAGCGCGAGCAGTTTAGTCCCAAGGCAACTGCAACACGCCCTTCCGCATCGCGGGCTGCTGGGCCACTTGCAGCCAGCCATACTTCCTACCGCCTTCCACACGCAATTTGGCGAAATTAATTCCTGTTCCCTTCTCATACTTGATCTCGGTGCTTGCCTCCTTGGGGATTAAGCCCGGGTGAGCTGCAAAGGGTCGCTGCAGCCGTGCTGGGCTGATACGCTGATGTTAACGATGTCACGTAGCAGTGGCCTAAGCAGCCACTCCCTGTGGTGTGTTGAGCGCCATACAAGGACACAAGGATACAGCTCCCTCGGCTCCCCGACCCAGGACCCAATACGGCCAATACAGGGCCCAGCTGGGAGGCAGCTTCTCATTCTTCACATAGCCTAGGCAGCCATGCGCCGCGTCACGCCCACGCCGTCCTAACCCCGGCTGCTGCCACCGTTGCTCGCGCAGAGCTGGACGAGCTACGCCGTCAACGCCAGACACATGCCTTTCACCGCCGCCGCCACCTTTCACCGGAGGGAGCTGCCAAGACGGCGGCGACAGGACAGGGACCTGTGCCTGCATCTCCCCCCCGCGCACAGCTGCAGCAGCAGCAACAGCAACAGCTGCAACAAAAGCAAGAGACATCGCACCCATCTCAGGCTCAGCAAATGCAACAGCAGCAGCAGCAGCATCAGCGGGAGTTGCTCGAGCGACAGGCCCAGCTTCATGAGGCCTCCCTGTCAGCTCTCAAGGTACAGCTCGAGGCCCTGAACCAGCAGCTCACCACTGTGACAGCCAAGCTGCAGATCCGAGATGCCCAGGCCAAGAAATACAAGGAGGCCGTCAAGGTGCTCAAGGTAAGGCCAACGTGCGTTTCGCAAAAGTGTATTGGGATTTCTTGTAGGCGGATGGGTGTTGGCGAAGGTTGCCGTTGGCGTTTCTCCATAGGCTGAGTTTCCGGGGGGTTTGTTCCAGGTGTGGATGTGCACCGAAGCGGGAGCTAGTGGAGGATGTGGCGGTATGTAGGCGTTCACGTGTAACGCAGCGCGGAGTACAGGGAACAGGTAGTTGCCGTGAGTGCTTGAGTGAGCGGGATTGCATCAGGTCCATCAGTTCAGCCTCTGCCAACCAGCTTGTCGACCCCATGCGTGCGGCTGCTACTTCGCCGTGCCTTTGAAAAATGTTAGCTTTGCATCCTTGCGAGAGAGACAGCCCAGTCATACACAGCCCAGTAAGAAATCTTCGCAGTACCACACGCACACACACACACACACACACGCACACACGGAGGTACACCACACTACGCACAGTTCACACAGTACACACACATGTGCCAACATGTTCTTAATCCTTTAGCGCAAAGAACAGGCGCCGCTATCGATTTCCCGAACCATGGTCCTGTCTACGGCTGCAGGCGCAACTTCATGCGTCAGAGAACGCGCTGACTGACCGGCAAACCAAAATTGTGGACCTCCACCGGGAGCTCTCCGCATTGAACCGCATGCTCAAGGACGCGCCGCCGCCGCCGTCAGCGGAACCGTCGGCGCCGGAGCCCTCCGCCGCCGCTGCCGCCGCCGTCGCCGCCTCCATGGCCACCGCCGCCGCGAATGCGGCCGTGGCGGAGGCTACAGCAGAGGAAGCGGCGGCGCGCGCCGCGGCGGAGATAGCGTCCCTGTCTGCAGACATAACATTACTGAAGCAGCAGTTGGCAGATAAAGAGACGATGATCGCGACGTTGCGACGGGAGGTGGCGGACCGTGAGGCGCTAAGACTGGAGGCCGTGGAGCGCGCGATGGATGCTGTGCGCAGGGCGGGCGCGGCAGAGGAGGCGGTTGCGAATGCTGCGGATCAGCTGCGCGAGGGTCTTGAGAAGGTTGTGGCGCTAGAGGCGCAGCAGCAGGCGGCGGTGATGGCCGCAGCGGAGGTGGCGCGGCTCAATGCTCAGCTGAAGGAGGCTTACGAGAAGATCGCTGCACTGGAGGCACAGCAGCAGGCGGCGGCGGCAGCCACGGCGGCAGCGGCGACGGCGGCGGCGGCGGCGGCCCAGCAGGCCGCAGCGCGAGCGGCTGAGGCGGAGGCCGTTCCCAGGTGCGGATTGAATTTCTAGGATTGTAAGGCAGAGGACATGGCATGCAGGTTTGGTTGGAACTTAGGAAGCCGCTCTGCCGATGATCCTCGTTCTGCCTGTGTGTGTGTGTGTGTGTGTGTGTGTGTGTGTGTGTGCGTCGTTTCAAGGCTGGTCCAATCCAAAGCCTCAAGTCATCGCCGGGGGCAGGTAACGAGCTTCCTGCATCAAGCCACGCAGTCCATTTCATTGGGCATCTTGCACCATCCTCCTGTCCCGCGGCCCTTTTGCTTCTCGCAGGCGGATAGGGGACGCAGAGGCGCAGACCCGGGAGGCCGAGGCTCGGCTCGCAGAGGCGCTTCGGCAGGCGGAGCAGGCCAAAGCGCGGCAGCAAGAGGCACAGAAGCGGGTGGAGGATTCCGCACGGTAAGGACAGTTGGCTGGAAGTTAACGGGGGCACCGGAGAAGACGGAGGACCCCAGCTCGCCCGCAGTTGGGCCTCAACCCAGAAGAGATCCTCTGAGGCTGTGCTGGGGACGCTTAGCCAAACGATAGCCACCTAATGTCAAGTGTAGTCTTACCCATGTGACTACAGAGGTGGTCAATGCGGCTGCCCGCCCACGCGGCTGGCTCGTGATGGACCTTAGGGTGTGGCGGCGGAACGGTCCTGAACATTTTTCCTTGTAGCGCGTCTGGACTCGAATCGGTTTACCTGCGACTGCACATCTGCCCTTGCATGCTATCCAGGCAGCTGGCTAGCCTCGAGGGCCGACTGGACGAGGCCGAGCGCAAGCTGGCAGATTACCGGCGGATGGTCGAGCGTGCAGAGCAGCGGGCGGAGAGGGCGGAGCGTGCCGCTCGCGAGGCGGAGATGCAGATGGGAGAGGCCGAGAGGTGCGCGCGCGAGGTGGTCCTCATGTTGTGCAGCAGCAGCAGCAGCAGCAGCAGCAGCAGCTCCTGCTGCTGCTGCTGCTGCTGCTGCCGTTGCTGTTGGGTCTTAGGGGTGTGGCATATAGGCTAGAGCTCTCTAGTGCAGCACACGCGCTGCAGGTAATCCGCATCCCTTGCATAGTCCGGCGAGGGCTGTGGGCGTCAAGATTTGCCATGATTTGTTAGTTCCCGAATCAAGCCTCGTTTTAGGCCGCACGGGATTTCGTTCAGGGCTTTTGGAGGGGCAAAACAAGTCACGTGGAAGAGATGAATTTCCGGGGCTGCACCCCGTGCGATGTCGTTTGCCCAACTACTTCCTCCCGTCCTTCCCTGGATGTGCACGCAGGCGTGCGAGCCAGGCCGAGTCCTACTCTTCTTCCATGGAGCGTCGGTTGCGGGACATGGAGCTAAGGGTTGCGGAAGCGGAGCGGCATTCCAAAGAGGCGGAGTCACGCAGCATGGAGCTGGAGGCCCGGCTCAAGGCAACCGAGGTATTGTGCGATGCCGCGTTGCGTCGGCGCCGGTGCTGAGACCCCGTTGCCTTGTGCTGTTGTGCAGCCACGTGGCTTTGGGGTCAGGTTACGCTTGTGCTGATGTCTCCTTCCCGGACTGCAGCACTACAGCCATTTCCGCAATCGTGCACCATAGTTGCAGGCTCGCAGCCATCCAGTCCAACGGTTTTGACATTTGGGCATTGCGCTAAAATTAGTGTGCGCTGACTACCGTAGTGATGGTCTGCGGCTTCTTGTGTGCCTTATCTGCTGTGGGGCCAGGCCCGGGCGTTGGAAGCCGAGAAGCGCGGTCTGGACTGCGAGTCACGGCTTGCGGCCAGTGAGCGGCGAGTGCGGGACACGGAATGCCAGGTCGCGGAGCTGACGCACCGCTGGCGCGACGCGGAGCGACAGAAGCAGGAGGCTGAGATGCAGGCACGTGCGGCGGAGGCCAGCGCAAAGCAGGTGCGGCACAGGTGGGTTCTCCTGCATATCACCACGTCGCTGCCCCGCGTGCTGCTATATCAACCCCCTACGTAACGACTCCTTGGCCATGGACCCGGCTGTGGCTCCTATGCCATACTACCGCAACACCAGGGGGCGCTTTTTCACAAAAGCCGTCTGTGTTGTCCATGCTTGCAGGCCAAATCTGACAAAGAAAGCGAGGCCCTGTCCATTACCCGGGCGTTGGAAGCTAGGCGGAACCAGGAACAGCGCCAACTGCAGGACCTGCAGGTAAAAGGCAGCACAGCGGTGCAACCGCCATTTTTTAACGCACATTGTATGGGCCGAAGCGAGGCCGCGCCCAACTGACCACAGTCCAGAGACATTTCCTGCACAGCGCTTCTTAGGGGTTAGCTTCGGACACGGGGATTCCGGCACCGAGAAGAGAGATCGCTCAGGCAGGGGAGAAACGGTCGTTGCCTGTGCACGGCACCGGAGCCCCACTTCCTGCCTTGTGGTTAGACATAGCCCCGATCCTTCGTCTGCGCGAATAAACCGTGGGTTAGAAGTGCGATTAGAGTTAGCTGTTTCCTGGCTTTCCATGTCATTAAGCCACCGCGTCTCGACATGCAGGCCACGGTCGAACGGATAACGCGTGCCCGGGACAGCGCTGATGCACGGGTGCTGGAGCTGGAGACCGCTCTCAGGGCCTCAGAGCGGCTGGTGGCGTCGCTACAGGCGGGCGCTAGTGCCGACTCCATTCGGTAAGTTACTGCGGCATTGGCACCAAGAGACCTTGGCCTTGGCCTCGGATCTTGGGCCGTAGCGCAGGAAGAGAGAGCTAAGAGTGTTGCCAAGAGAATGCTGGTGCCAAGAGCATCTGGAATGCTGCAAATGCACGGTCGGCGCATGCAAATCCAGGCGCAGAGGGACCAAGGGACACGTGGATTTCGCATGGTCTGTGTGTGATTCGATGAAATTGGTACTCCGTGGCCTCCCGTGTGCCGGTATACCTGGTGCGAGGCCGGCATTTAACGAGGGGTTTCGATTGGAATAATTTTACATATATATGCATATACCCATATACCGTGTGTATGCTAGTCCAGAATAAGAGCCTTAGGTAATATGACTCGAACATAGCGTATCGCAGTATCGCCGGGGTCCGCATGCATTTTGAGGAAACCCCTTGTCTCTTATCATGTGCCCCCTCCTCTCCGCGCGCGGCTGTGCAGTGCGGTCTACGAGGAGCGACTACGCGGGCTGGAGGAGGCGCTGAGCAATCGTGACCGGACGATGGCACAATTGCGGGACAGTCTGCTGCAGGCAGACGTGGAGTACAAGAAGGTACGAGGATTTGTTTTGGTTTCCTTGCCGTACTGTTCTCAATTCTGTTGTCTGTAGCCACTGACTCTCTGCATGATATCATGAATAAAGTATCACAGACTGAAGGACAGCCACCATTATAACCCCACTTACATAAACCTGCCCTACACTCTTTTTGCCATGCGTGCCAATCTTCTCCTCGTTGGCCTGGGGTTGTGCGCTGCATCCCTGACCCCAACTTCAATCGACACAGAGCTTGCAAGCACTCGTAATTGAGGTGCAAACCAAGACTGCGGCACTGCTGGAAGCGGAGCGGCGCTTCGCCGAGCTAGAAGCGGTCATGCAACGAATGGTAGCTCGATCAGGGGCGGCATAGCACAATGTTCGCTGGGAGCGCGGCCACTGCCTGTGTCGGCACATGGCTGTCATTTTCATGGCTGTCATTTCATTACAGGCCGCCTCCTCGCGCTCTTCCCAGTGAGTGCTTGGACTCTACAAATGCTCTCGTATGCAATGAGGCAACACAATCGGCATCACAAATCCATGGCACAAAGAATAACGGACATCTGGTGGACGGGGAGAAAACCTCGCAGTGGGCGCAGAAGACGCGCTAAACACGGCCACCGATGCCAACAAGTCAAAACGCCGTATTTTAAGATACCTGCTACTACTTTGTAAGGTACTACGCGGCGTAACCACCAACCACTCTGCAACGAACGTCGAAGCCACAACGTATTCATGTGTTCAAATTCTGAATTGGTGCATCGCATTGCGGTGGCGCGAAAGGAGGGATGGCAGCAGCTCGAGAGGCGAGCGCTTTATTGACTAAGGCGTCACATGAAGACTTTTCAATTTGATGCCTACAACTCGTTGATTTTTAGCTTTTTCATATCGGGCCTCCCCGCCCATTGGCCCTGGCAATCTTGCGAAGGAATACATTGCCAAGTCTGGCACCATTCCTGCTGGTGCGTGGCATATGCACGCAATGTGCGTGTGACGAGGAGAGGAGTGCATAGCACGGATACGTCATTTCGCTGTAAGTGCTCAACCTCAAGTGTACATCATACTTCCCCGTGCAAATATCTACAGCGCAGTTAACATCCAGCATACAACTAAAAGGCAGGCCCCGCGTGTGGGCAGCAATGGGCTCACTGACGTGCCTAACCGGCCATTTGGGATTTCAAAAGAAACCCCAAAGAAACATCCGCAAACCATTACCTATAGCTCGCTACACGAAGAATGCAAAAAGTAATGTCGTACTCAGCAAGGCAATGCGTTATCATGCGGCATCACTACGCCCACCTCTACACTGCTGCCAAAACCTTTCTGCTACAGCGCCTCTGAGCCAACCAAATTTTAATGCACCAATTCAAGGAAAAACGTTTTGAATTTAGCTGAATTCAAACAGGAACTCACTTCAACTTTCAAAAGCTTGGGGGGGGAGAGGGTAATAAGTAAGCAGCCCGTCCAATAAGAAGACAACCCTACAAGCCTCACAAGCCCGCACAAAGCAGCCGTACGCACCTATCGAACTTCCGTCACCTTTCGCTTCAAAACCGAACTTCCAACAACAACAGCAACATCGTGCCGGGTCTATACCCTTTCGCGCGCGCGTTACTATGTGTCGCTCAGCCCGCTGCACGCTTTGCACTAGGATTTCAGCTTGCAAGTCTAAATCTCCTATCGCTCAGTTCTGTGGCGGATTTCTATTCCTCAAAATCCAATAACATTTCTTCCCACTGAACCACCCGGCTTTTTCTTAATGCTTAACCTCGTCTTCCTCCTCATTTAAGAAGCCACGTGTGCCGCCGGCTGCGGGTGCGGGGCATAGTCCCCGCACCCCTAGGGTCGGCAACGATCCTCTCCCCCGCCACTGCCACTCCCGACCCGCCGCCGCTCTGGCGGGACCGCCACCACCGGCGCGGCGCCGGCCTCAAAAGGCACCGAACAGTGCAACACCGCAAAGTCTACCCGCCGAGGCACCTCCACCACCACGCATGTCGCGAAACCCGCCAGCCAGATGAGCAGAATGCGCGCCAGCGCATGGGAAATGTGCAGCTGATGGGCGAGCAGCACGTAAAGCAGCACGCAGTGCAGCGTGTGTTGCGGCAGCCGACGCAGCGTGCGAACCTGAGGACAGCGACGGAGGACAAACGGAAGGACGGATTCAGGCGGGCGCTGTGCAGGGAGGGGAAGGAGGGTACTAATTATTCTGCCCGATTATTCAGGTACCCGCTCGCAGCCATTCCGCCACACATGCCGGCCAGCAATGTAATTGCCCGGCACACCTGCTCAGGTCAGCCCACCCCTACCACACATACCCACACCTGCGTCCATGCAACCCAGCACCCCTTGCGCTCGCGGCCTCCTACCTCCCTTCCTGAAGGAGTTAAACATGCATATGCGTAAAAGCGGCGACACGCTCCCAAGTTCCATCCCAGTCCACCTGCACCCATTCCTGAAAATTCAACAACGCCGCCAAAAAAAGCTAAGCCCTCCTCGCACGATACTCGCGGCGTGTGCACGTACAATCCATAGGAACATACCCTCAGCGCTAAGCACCGCTAAGCCACACACCGCTCGTACCTGGTCGAAGGCGTTCCGCTGTATTCCGTCCATAAGCACCTCCAGCCCCAGCCCACGCAGCCGCATCTTCAAGCTGTTCGGCACCGGCAGCAGCCCCAGCGCCATCGGCAGCGTCAGCACCAGCATCTCCAGGTAACCACACCCCAGCACCCAAGCCTCCCGCCATGCGACCGCCCAGGGCGGGTCGGCGAGCGGGGGGTTCAGCAGGGGTTGCGCGGGCTGGCGTCCCGTCAGGATGTGAGATGGGCCTGACGACGCGCCTGCCATGGCAGACGCGCCTGCTGTGCCGGGGCCGCCGGGGCCGGGGCCGGTGCGGCGCGGCGCGGAGACGCTGCGGCCCTTCACCGCGGCGCGACAGCGATCCACCGCGGCGGCGGCGAGCACCACGGCCTTGGGCGCAAAGGAGAGAATGCGTAGCAGCAGGTGCGGCCCGACAAGCTGTGGAAGGTAAAGCAAGGTGCGACAGCTGTTTTATTATCGCTGCAGTAGTAAACGTGAGAATTTAAAAGAAGTGGGGACTGAAGTATAATAAAGTGGGTTTTATATGGCCATAGGTAGGTCGAAAAAGGGAGTGAGAGAATAGGACGCAGGGATGCGTCACCAGCCGAGCAAGACAGGATTGATAAGAGTGATAGAGAAGCAGGGAAGCCTTGCGAGACAAGAACAGAACCGAACCAAGGTACAGGACAGGCAGGGCGAACAGGACCAAGCCGCCGCGGGTGCCTCAGACAGCAAACATAAGGCAACAAACACAATCGCAGTGAAAGCGGTACAACTGCACAACGCCACCGGGTGGTCCCAAACGACTACATAAAAATTTTATAAACTCACTTCCTGCCAAGTGACTTGCCAGCTCGCAAAACGAGAAGACAAGACACCAAACAAAACGCTACACGAAAGCGACAAAATATAGGGATTTATCAATCCGCTTCCTAACAGAAATGCCATAACCGAATTTGAGAACCTCGCCTACCAGGAGCTCGTGTCTGTCGATGCTCCCTGACGCGATATACGGGATCACCAAGCACACCACCGTCTTGGCGCAAATGTACGCCAGCGTGTAGCCGTCCAGCGCAAGCGCCTGCCGTGCGTAATACAAGCCGTACATAGTCTCCGGGCTGCGCCGCCGCCGGCGGCCGCCGCCGCCGCCGCCAGAGGCAGCAGCATGGCCTCCCCCGCCGGCTGCCCGTAGTGACGATATTGTTGGAGCTCCGTGACAGTAACCAACGGCGCCGGCGCCAGCGCCCCCATCGCCACAGCCCAACAGGCCCGCTCCTTCGTTCGAATACGACTTCTCCTTCTTCTCCTTGCCCTCCTCATTCCCCGTCGTGATCAAGTCTGCAAGTGATCCTGCCGGCGTCGCTGTAGCTGTAGCTGACGCAGTGGGCCGCATACGGGAGTAGCCGAAGCAGCAATCTCGCATCGCTTGCAGGATCCTCTGGCCAGACATCAAGGCGCGCGTGTGACTGTGGCTGAGGCCGCCGTCGCCAAGGCGGCGAGCCACCGTTACAGCTGCAGCATCGGCGGCCTGGGAGGAGGAATCGCAGCTTGCGGCGTCCTCGCTGCCCCTGCTGCTGCGGCGGCAGGAATGGCTGGCCGCCGTGGCGGAAGCTTCATCACCTGCAGCACCAGCACCAGCGCCAGCAGCGGCACCAGCACCAATTTAGCGAAGCTCTGCCGACGTTAGCAGCAGAGGCGGAGATATGCTTTTTGTGGATGCGGAAACAACAGCGAAGCAGCAGCGCATCACCTCTGTGAAAAGGCGGGACTGAGGGCGGGAATGACGGGCGGGCGGCCGAAGAGGCTGTGCAAGGTGCACGGCCGCCCGGCAATGAAAGTCGGCTTACTGGGGCCCCCCAAACCACACAAAGGTTATCAAATCAAACAGTGGGAGGCTGCATCTCACGAAGCGCCCCTGGCCCCACACACCAACCGCCATTAAGCTAATAGTCAACAAAAAAGTGGCGCCCTTCCCTCCTCTCGCTGCGTCGGCGGTGTCGTGACCAGGCACGCACCTTTAACGGCATCCTCCACCTTCTCCCAGACAGCGTCAGCAGCCCGACTTGACCCCTCCCTGGGAGATGCAGCCTCCCACGAAGGTGGAAGGGTTATCGTTTGCCCCCGGCTTTGTTCCGTTGAAGGGGGGGAGAGCGCCTGCGGCTCTAGCAGATGCGAAGGCACCTCCCCTATCGTACGGCCGCTGAACGGTGCGGAGTCAGTATCGTACGAGGTCGTCGCAGCGGCGCCGTACATCATGGCGGTGGACACAAGGCCGCTGCAGCAAGACGCCCCCTCTGCGGCGTCGGCACCGCCGCCGCCGCCGCCGCCGCCCGGGCGACTTGTCAATTCAAGGGGAGTCGCGCGCGAGGCGCTCCGATAACGTGCCGAATATCCCCATCCGCCAGTGCTGCCATCGCTTCCGCTTCCGCTCTGCTCTCGCACTGCGACAGGGCCCTGTCCACCGTACCTTACTACTGGCCCTGCTGCCGCAACCGCGGTGCCCCCTGTCCGGTCCGCGCCGCCCATAGACTCGTCCGCTGCGGCGCCCTCCGTCACTTCCGCCGCGCCCTTCTCGACGTTGGAATGCTCGTCTTGTTGGTCAACGCCGCCAGAAGGGCGGAGATCCGCCACGGCCGCCGCGGCAGTCAAGAAGGGACTTGGCACTTCCCTGTATGCCGTATCGCCGTACCCATGGCCGGCGGCCGCGGCCGTTCGCATCCGCCGCTGCCTCGCTGGACTCTCTGACCCTCTTACGTTGTCACCGCCGCTGGACCTTGCCGCCGCCGCCGCCGCCGCCGCCGCTGCCGCTGCCGCTGCAGCTTGGCGCCCGCCGCCGGTAACGTCCAATCCGACAGGTTCAAACTTCCTCGCCACCGTCTCATCACCGTCGTCATCGCTCTCTGGCCATGGCGCCATTGCAGCCGCAAAGGGCGTGTAGAAACCCACAGGTAGCTTTAGCAGCCGCCCGGCGTCCGACGACGCATCGCCATCGCCGCCGCTGCCGCTGTCCCGTTCACCGGCCGCCGCGGCATTCCCGCGAGCCGGCGACAGATGCGGCGCCGGCCGCCGCGCCGACGAAACCCTTGCCGCCGTTACCTCCTGTCGCTGTTGCTGATGCAGGTTCGGCTGAAATGACGGCGCCGCCGGTAGTGGCTCCTCCTTTCTCCTGCCCGCCGCCGCCGACTCGCACGGCTCCTCGTCATCGAAGCCCCATGGCAACATGGCCGCTGCGAACGGCGACGGCAGCTGCGGTGTGGCCTTCAGTGCTGGCGCCACCTCAGCCGCCGCAGCTACTGCGCCTTGGTGGCTTCCCGTTACCTTCCGACATGGCTCGCACTCCTCCCCGTCTGGGCCCCCGCCGACATCCGCGCCGTCGCCACGCTTGTCCGCTTCAGCGTCGTCCTCCTCATCCTCACTCTCGGGCCATGGCGCCGTGGCGGCAGCGAAGGGGCTGTGCTGTATGTCAGCCAGGTTGATCGGCAGACGTGGCAGGCAGCCGGCCACCGCGTCGCCCACGGAAACCCCCGGCATCTGCGCGGGCTCCGTCCCGGCGGCTGGCCGGCCAGGTGAGCTGCGCGGTGGCGGCGACGACTCCGAGTCGTCGCCGTACTCGCTGCCGGATGGCCAGGGCGCCATGGCCGCTGCGAAGGGGCTGTAGAGAGCCGGTGCCGGCGCCGACACCGGTTGCGCCTGTCTACTGCCGTTGCCGCCGCCACGCTCATCTTCCTCCGCCACTGTGGATATGCAGTCCTCCCAGTCCTCGCTCTCCGCGTCACTGTCCTGGAGGCTGCTCAGGCTGGCGAATGGCGACGTAGCGGTGGCGGCAGTGACGGGCGTGACGGCACTCGAGTCCAGCACCGGCGCCGCCGTCGCCTCCCCTGCCAGCTGCGCGCCATTGCCACCATCGCGGCAGCCCAGCACGTGGTGCTCCGGAGGCCAGCTGGTGCAACCTCCGCCATCGGCGCCTTTACGAGAGTCGCCGTCGCTTGCCAGCGGCGCTGACGTCGTCGTGGCGGGTGGTGCTGTTATTACCGGCATATTGGCCGTGGTACTCGCGCCAACGTCACCAGCGGCCTGTTCCCGTGCCCCTAGCAGCACATGCAGCTGCAACGCGTCGTGTGCCGTACGGACCACAAACTGCACTGACGCCGGCATGCTGTTGGCCTCGAAATACTGGACCAACTGTTGTGCTACGCGCAGTACGGCAGTCGGGCCGTCGGCGGCGGCGGCCGCTGCCAGCGCCGCCACGTCTCCAGCGGCCACAACGGCGGCGGCAGCGCCGCCGCCACCGCCGTCGCGCACCGTTGCCGCCAGCTCCGCTCTCTCCATCAGGTACGCCAGGTCGGAGATCAGTGGCGCGTAGTGATCCCGCCACGCGGCACCGTTGCTGTACGCCACCGAAGCCGCCGTTCTGCCGTACTCCATCCGCATCACCTGGCTGAGCTGCGCCAGCTCCGCTGCCACCTCACTCGGCACGGACAGCAGCGTGGCGATGTCGTATAGCAGTGGGCTATTAGCAGTCGCGGCGCCGGCAGCAGGCGCGAAGACTACCTGAAGCACCGACGGCCGCGGCTGTGGCGGCACTGGCAGTAGCAGCACTTGCGGGCCCTCTCCAAGGACGCACATGAAATCAGCCAGAAGAACGCCTTGCTGCACTAGCAGCAGACGCAGCGTCTGGGCTACTGCCGATGTAAGGCCCAGCTCCAGCTCCGTCGGCGGCGCGTTGGCGGGCGAGATCGGTACGCAGGGCGTCCAAGCACACTCTACCGTGATGGTTCCGCCCACACTGGCGCCCACGGGCGGCGGATCAAACTGTGGTGACGTCAGCACACGAGATGGTGCCGCAGTCGTCGCCTCCGGCGTCGCAGCTATCCGGCCGTCATCTCTGGCTGATGCCGTGGCGGCGAGAAACGGCGCCGCCGCTGCAGCCGTAGCAGCAGCAACACCTGGCCCTGACGCCAACGAGCCTGACTCGTGAGATGGCGGCAGGGGCACCGGCGCCGTCGCCGTCGGCATCATGAACGACCGCTGGTTCATGTCTGGGCCCAAAGCCACGTCACCCAGCGGACGCTGTTGGTGCTGGATGTGCGGCAGCTGCTGCTGTTGCTGTTCCCGGTGTACGAATATTTGCTGATGCTGGAGTTCCTTATTGTGGAACGCGTCCAAACGACCCGTGGGTCCCTGCACTGACCAGGGACCCAGCTGCGCCGCGTCCGGCAGTAGCTGCGGCAGCACTTGATGCAGGTCCGGCAGCGGCAGTGGCGCCGCCGCTCCTGCTGCTGCTGCTGCTGCTACTGCGGACGCCTGAGCCGCGGCGTCAGACCACGATGACAAAGACGACGGCAGCAGCGCAGCCGTCGCTTCAGAAGGCGCCGGCCAGCCCAGATCGGCCTTCTCGGTGCCGTAAGACGACAGTTCAGGCGCCAATTGCGGTACCA